AGAAAAGAAAATCTATTAGTTGTTCTAGGGAATTTGTGAGGGAGGTGAGTGGACTCTACGCTACTCAATAACTAAATTTTTTTTTATTTTTTGAAAACAAAACTGCTTTAACAGATTGCTTCCTTTGTTGAATAGAGATAAAAGCAATTAAATATTACATTCAGCGTGTTATGTGTTAGGAAAATCGTCTAATTATTAAAAAATTAACGTTTAGTTAACGCCTGCTATTCAACTAACACTTCCGCTTTGAAAGCTATTTAGGCTAAATAGCGTCACGGGTTGGAAATTTCCGACTAATTCCGGAACTATCCACTAGATGGCGTTAATAAGACTCACGTTTCTTTATAGTGATTGTCTGTCACGAACGCTTTAGTTGTTCGTGAGTGAGTTTTCCTCGTGTGAGTAGAATTAATAGTACTCGATAGTGATCTAGTGATGGAATTAAGCACCATTTCTTAGTTAATTCTGTAATAAAATGAATAAACCGAATTTAAATTTATTAAGTTAATGTTCTATCTTTCTTTGTATGCATTTCAAAAAAATCAAATTTATTAAACGATTTAAGATTATTAATCTTAATTAAACACATTAATTAAGATTAAAATAATTTTTAAAAAAACGAAAGTTTTCTTTTATTCACGAAGAACATTTTGAAAGAACTCGTTCGGTCTTATCAGCTTTTGATATATTTCATTCAGATCAAACATAATTAACGTAATCAATCCGATTAAGTTTACTTAATATAATTAATTTAATTTAGATCAATTAGCTTTCAAACGGGATCAATATAATCTTGGCTCATCAAATTAACTTAAGCTATAAATCAAATTTTATTCTGCCCAATTGAATCTCGACTCAAAATCGAAAATTTTGAGAAATTTGAGACATTGCGCTAAGATTCAATTGATTTCAAACCGAAGGAGTTGAGATTTTCTGAGTCATGTGGCACAAAAATGATGATCTTCGCCTATCAAATGGATTGTATCGTTGTTAAAACAATCTTTTACATAAATTATAATGTAAAAGTTTCTAAGTAGCTACCACAAATCAATTTTTATAAACTACAAGTTTCAGGATTAACCATAGAAACTCGAATTCACAGGTATCAAGTAATATCAAGCCTTTATAATGTTAGATTATTACATCGACGTTTTCAGCATTGAAAAAGCCATAATTTTAATTGTATTTTCATGAAATTAACTTAAGACAAGTGTATTGATTTATTTCGTTACCTTAGAACAATTAAATGATACAAGAGCGGTTTAAAAGTATTTTATTAATTGTGTAACAATTAATATAAACTTATATATATCTTTGCGCCATTATACTGCAGATAAAAAAGTGGATTTTCCATAAATAATGCCGTCATTGTGTAATATCATAATTGTGTAAGTTAATTGTAATTTTCACCGCTAATGAAGAAATAACTGCGTATAAAACGACAATTAAAAACCATAATCAGTAAAGATATCATCAAAAATTATAATCGAAAATTTGGGTTTTAGATACAATTAAAAGGAAACTTTTTAGCAAATAGATAAGAGGTGATTTCTGCGGAAGTCTCTATTCGCGCTTGGCCAACCATAAAAGCCAACAATGGCAAAAGGCACGTGCCACAAAGCGTGCCACACACGTGACGTCACGGATTGTTAGTCACGTGACGAAGTCTCCATGGATTAGTAAACTCCTGAAGGAAATATTTACCACGGATGTAGGCAACTTTGCTATTGCAAAAAAAAAAAATCGTTTCTTAAGTAGTAGTGATTAAGTGATTTAGCTTTGGTCACTTTACGCCTATAACTTAATTAAATAGCATTGCTTTAAACAATTAATTAAAAGAAATTATGGATATTTATAGTTTATTTTATATGAAAACGAACTGAAAATCGTTTGCATCATGAAATATACAAAATTCTTACCAATTAAACCTCGAATTTTTAATTTGAAATTCAAATTAGTACGGCAAGAAATATTAACGGTCGGTTTCATCGCAATGGACAAAAAACCGTGCAATTTGCATAAAAATATTTAGGTTTAAATTAAATCCTTATCATAATCACAAGCATTTTTCTCAAATATTCTTACTATATCAATACGTAACACCTCATTGAAGAAAGGGTCGAAATGAATGAATGTGCAATGAACCGTACATATTCACAGGCCACTTCACCTTTGTAGAGAAACTCAACTGTGACTGTTCTGTAACAGTTTCAATGAATAGCTTAATAGACAGGAAGACGGGTAATATAAGTTAATGTTACACTCTTTTATTGTTTCTTCCAATGGAATGATAATAGTATTGAATGTATGAAATCGCTAAGATTAGCTTTTATCGGGGTGATATTTTAATTAATTTAACTCTTTTCATTGTCACGTATCTAATTGAAAAACATATTAAATTACATATTTTAAGCTTGTAAGCGTGTATGAATTACTACTTCGTTCTCTACAAGAAAAACAATAGATAGTCCCTAGATGAACCTACAGGAGATACGGTAGTGCGCGTGGCGGCCTCGTGTCCCTACTGGAAATAAGTTGTCAGGAACATCTAGCTAATGAAATGGTCACAGAAAGGTAGGATTGTGGAACATCAGATGCCGAAATGACGATTCAAGCGCTGTCATCTGTGTTGCAAAGAAACGCTGCTTGCCATCTGTTTGTTGATCTACTGATTAAGGGCATTTCTGAAATCTAGGAGTTAGTATCATCTAGGTTAATTATCATTCATTTTAAGATTTTTCTAGTGATAAATGAGTTATATTGCATCCCAGAGAGATTACGGAGAACTATTTCTTGTAAACTACAAGTTAATCTATTTGATATAGGCCTAAACAATTGTACAATTTATAAAGTGAGTCCAGGAGGAAAGCTACTAAGAAAACCCATCTTAATATTCCACTTAGCAATAAAATATTTTAAAAGTAGATTTAAATATGAATCTTTTTCTGTGATTTATTCTAAAATAAAACGTAAATTGTCCGCTCAACAAAGCTAAGTTCCAGTTTTTGTCGATTTGTACTAAGGGCCTATGGACACCTTTCCTTAACAAAACGTACAAACATACAATAGATTTCTGAAGGAAAATTAATTCGAAATGCTCTTAAAATCAAGTCCAATAGTTAAAATTTTAAATATACTGTAATATATATCAAAAGAGGACATACATTTAATATATATATATGCCATACTCGTACGCATATCTCCATGATAAATCTGGAAACTATGTGTGATGTATTAGTAGCAACAACTTTTGAATTATTACTGAAAAGTTGCTGCTTCTAATATATTATCGACAAGCAATCTCTTATCGCAGTAACAATAAATGTCTACAGTTTCAAATAAATATTTGACTACAAAAGTCTGTAGGCTACGCTTCTGTCGGGTTATATATAACGTTTTAAATGTTAACAGATCAATTAAAATGCTTATAGATAAATTAAGAAAAAGCATATTAAACTCGACTGAACTAATATTTCTTGAAATTTGTCAAACAATAAAACTTATAATATTAACTTTTCAAATTACCTTTACAATACTTACTGTTTTATAGAAACTACGAGTTTAATGAACTTTAACCCCAGTTAAAAAAAAGGGAGAGGATCCAGTATCTCATGGAATAAATGTAATTCTAATATAAGCGAATAAAGATTCAATTTAACTGCTAAAGTAATTTTAGAATCGTGTCCCATTATTTGTATCAGCTATGGTTAAGGGGTAGCTGGTTTAATGATCGCCAAAGGCTCTCCTCGTTTCGTGGAAATAACATCAATTTTTAAACTACATTTACAGTTATTTGATCCAAATAATAAAATTTCCAGTTAATACTTCAACACATAGCTTAATAATTTTTAAATTTATACACGTTTATATATTTAATAATAATTTAAAGTTTCCAAACTGTGATACAGATGAAAAGGAAGAAAAGAAAATTTACGGAAAATTCTTCTCATATTTCTCTACTCGAAATTAATTTTCTAAAATTAACCATTAATTATAAAGATTTGAAGACTAATTCTAGATAAAGTACACCACTTAATTTGTAACAAATATCCATTAATACCTAGATTTAGTAGCATTAAACATTTCCTTCGTTTAATGTCCATTACATTAAAAGGTATTAAATATTAATTAGAATGTAATTAATTTTCAAACTAAACTTAAAATCTTTCAAATTTTTCTTAAAATAAAAAATAATAAAAGCAAAATCAGGTAAGAAGATTAGGAATTTATAATAAAGTATGTCTCGGGTATCTTATATCTTAAGGCAAAATTCCCTGTGTCTACAAAGCCGTTTCTATTTTAATTTATCCCATTTAAACCTATCATTCCTATCACCTTACAAATAACAGCGATGACAGAGTTTGCCCTTAATATGGTATTTTTATAGCTTTGGCATGTAAAACAACTGTCTTAATCACCCAGTATTACTTTCTTTTATTGCCAAAGACGCCTTATAGCCCTCAAGCTTACAACTTAATACATAACATCCTCAATTATTTTCGAACGGTGATAAATTATCCGGTAGCTCGATCTTAAAAAATTCATAGGGCTAAATTGATAGGCTTATATCTTAGGATACCTTCTAATATCTAAAGATATTGATAGGCTATCTTCTACGTTTCGACTTTCCATGCTTGCAGACTTACAGATCTAACTATACAAGGATATTTATAAGATAATTTTAAGTAAATTTAAAATATTTAAATAAACTGATGACTGAAAAATTTAACATATTTTTCTTTAAATATGTTCTGCTTTACAATTTATACGTTAAAAATTACCTGGAACCTCTATTATTGCATATTATATAAAGTTGAAAATTGTAATATTTAAAAAAAAAATCGACGATCATTTAATTATAATTAATTAAACATTATTCTGTAATTTATAGATGTAATCAAGAATTTAGCATTTACGTTTACGCTAACGATAAATATTAGCAATAAATATAAAAAAAAGTGCATCTCGTACATCCGCACACCTGTTCATCCAATACGCACCTGTTAACCACTCCCCCTCTTCGTAATTGGTGAGTTTCCATTGAGATTCTCAACCAGACTAACATCTAACCAATGATAACAGGTGCAGGATCAGTACCTGAGTGCAGTCGAGCAGGTGAGAGAAGGCACGCGCCACGCTAAACTTCTCACCTGACCAGAACACGCAAGTCCGGAATCGGTAGCGGTGCCTACCGCTTCTCTGTACTCTTCCGTCCAGCCAGAGTTAAGGTTAGGCCCGGTTTATAGGTAGAGAATGACTGCAGAAATGTCGGATTTTCATGACGTAAGTAACAATTTGAAGCTACTATAATAATAAAATAAATATTTTGACAAATTTTATTATAAATTATATACTTAAATATATATTATTTCGAATTTTAAAGTTTCTTAAAGAAGATTTAACGTAACATATTTGAAAGAATTACGCGTAAACATATGAAAAAAAAGTCTTAATTTTTAGAGTTGAAGTGTTGTATAAGATGCCAAACAGATCTGATAACTTAATTAAATTAGTTTTTTCTATATTTTGTAATATTTAAATCGAAAAATAAGTTAAAGCTAAGCATTTATTAATGTTACGTTAATTACGTGGAGAAATTTTTGAGTGTTACTTTCGTCTGATCGGAATAATTTAGGGAATTTTTTCGATGTAGTCTTATAAAATTTAGGCCCTATATAAAAATATGCAAATTAGAAATAAAACTACTGAAAAAAATGTTATTAAAATATATTTTATAAGCATGACATTTTCTTAAAATATAATATTCTTTACTTATATAACACTTAAAAATATTAATTTTCTTAAAATTATGGATGATGGTGGCTTGAAGCACTATGAAAAATCTATATAACTTGTCATATTTTATTATTAGAAATAATTTTCTTGCGTTATATAAAATATTATAAATGTTTTATTAATTCATATTAAAATGAAATTATTTTTTAAAGATTAATTATAAAATTTTTGTATTATTTATCCAGATGTGGCAGGATATTGAAAGCGTACTTCTAGGAGACAGCGGACAAATAGAAAACAGAAATCAGCAATTGATGGCATCGTATGAAGATGAGAGAAATTCTTTAGTAACTACTGACATAGCTCATTCTCAAATGTATCAAGTCCCTCAACAAGCTAACATTATCGCAGATTGTTCGAATCGTGATAACAATAACAATAATTTATATACAGATTCCATCCGTAGATCGATTTCCAACGGTTATTATTCAAATGATATGACTTATTGCAGCGTGTATAATGGAAATCAGTATACATGTAACAAGTCGGGATACGAAGTTGTAACTGATATAAATCAAACTAAGGGATACTGTACCCAATGGAATAGCTATCAAGCAAATTTTCAAGCAGTTTCTCAAATGTCACCCCCGGCATCACCCGAAAATACGGTATATAATCAAGCTGCAAATTACCAATCGTTGGAGCACGGATGCCATCAGTATCCACTACGGCATCCTCAAGTGCCTACGCATTTCCGGTTAGTAACACCACCCTCTTCGCCCCATCTAGCAGTGAATGGCACTGCAACTTATTGTCAGCAATCGGGTGGATTAGGGATTCCAAACACCCCAGTTTTACCACCTCCACCCTCGGTTAGAGCTCGAAGAGGACGTAGAAGTACGGGACGTAAGAAAGTAACTATACACACATGCACCCACCCGGGATGCAACAAAACTTATACCAAAAGTTCTCATCTGAAAGCTCACCTGAGGACCCATACGGGTGAGAAACCGTATCAATGCACGTGGAAAGGTTGTGGATGGAAGTTTGCAAGATCTGATGAACTTACTCGACATTTTCGGAAGCACACGGGAGATAGACCGTTTCAATGTAGACTATGCGAGAGAGCCTTCTCTAGATCCGATCACCTATCTCTACACATGAAACGACATACTACAGTTTAGTCCACTTTTAAACTTTGCTCAAAAATATTTCATATTTTTCCATTCTAGTCAAGAGACATTATATAAGCTGCTATTGTTAATAGTTGTGGTATGCACAAGCCACGTCAATTTTCTCGGTAAGTATACATACGTACGTTTTTTTATTTTTTTATTTTTTATAATTAAAGCGAGGATGTGGTAAAGTAAGAATAATTTACGACTTCCTGGCTTTAACAGTGCACAATATGTATACAATACATAAGATAAATGATAATTTATAAGAAACTCTACATAATCATTTCCAAAAGACAAGTTAGGAAAAAATAATAAATAAAACAAAAATTTATAGAGTTAAAATATGATCTTTATTAATTTTCAAAACAATAATCTAGAATCTAGAATAAATTTAAAGATTTAAAATCCTGTTTTGAAGATATAATCCGATAGTACTTATGGAAATGAAATGTATATTGACCTCTAGAGTGTACATACATCAAGGTACTGGCCTAAATACCTAAACAACAGAAACCACTAAAAGTTTAGATGTATAAATTTTTATTATTTCTAAATTTAAAAGCAGGATATCCTGTTAAAAAGAGCTAATTTTTTTTTAAAGTCTTATTATTTAATACTACAGAAGGATCTAAACTATGATTCATTTTGGTAAATTTCCTTCATAAAAAAATATATATATAAAGTTCATAAATATCTTAAATTAAGATTTTTTTTTGGATTTAAATAATTTATTTCTTTCATTTTTATATGTATAAAAATTTTGTTTAGAAATTCCTTAAAATACTAAGGGTGGAGTTCTGTTTTCTTTTTACATTCTTGACTGACAATCCATAGACGACTTATTGACGATAGAGACTTTTGTCATTCTTTGTCTGAAATCACATCCGGAACTTCATTTCCGGTAATTGGGGTTTCCTTGCGTAGCGCCCTCTATTTCGTCAGGTGATAATTTCCTGGTATCATGAAAACCAAGATGAGGTTTTATGATTCTCAACAGTTTGAAGAGAAGCGTAACAAATAGGGCTTAAACGTTTGCTATAATCATCAAATACTACAATTGATTAGTTTTGCTTGAAGTAAATCCAAGTTTTAAAAAAGAAATGATAATAAATTTCTTCACTTGGGAATCAAAATAAGTAATTGAGATTCAAAAAAATCTCATTCGTATAAAATAATATAGATATAGTCACTCTTACACGAATGAATTTCAAGAGATCAATAGAAAAAATGATAAATTTCAAGAAAAATTTATTTAGCAGGTGAGAGAAGGCACGCGCCACGCTAAACTTCTCACCTGACCAGAACACGCAAGTCCGGAATCGGTAGCGGTGCCTACCGCTTCTCTGTACTCTTCCGTCCAGCCAGAGTTAAGGTTAGGCCCGGTTTATAGGTAGAGAATGACTGCAGAAATGTCGGATTTTCATGACGTAAGTAACAATTTGAAGCTACTATAATAATAAAATAAATATTTTGACAAATTTTATTATAAATTATATANTATAAAATATTAAATGCATATACTGTGACATGCATACAAATATATAAATATATACACATACTTTTTAAATGAACATAATAAAAATAATTCGAAGCTGCATTAAAAATGATAAACGCCATAGTAAGCAAAAACTTCTTATGAATATAAGCGGTCCTTTGAGAAATTTTAGAGAAAAAAACGCATAAATTTTATCAGATTTTTATTCTCGTTTATATCTATTATTAACTTCGACCAATCGTCTTTCAGAAGATTGCTGCTCCAACCAATCTTCTTTTAAGTTTTATAATATTAAATGCTTCATTTTCTCCTACAATTTGGATTAACATAAGCTATGTTTGCTAGATGTCAGAAAGGATAATTTTCATAATTCATTTTATACATAATTTTTAATGTCGTCATATTAAAATTCATTTTCTACTTCCGGAAAATTTTTTATACAACTATGGAATACTTTTATAATATAAAAGTGTGTTATCTCTTCCATCATTTTAAGAATTGTTTGCTATATTATAGCAAACAATTCTTAAAATGATGGAAGAGATTTAGCAAAACAATTTTACTGTAGTAGTTTAAGTAGGGGATTTAGCTCTGTAAATAAATAAATGAAGAAAAAATCAAATAAGTACAGAGACAATTGAATGGACAAACATACATGTATATACAATATCTGAGTGTACTCCTCGTTCACAGCGCTAATGGCTACGTGAATATAGATTTCGAGCCTACCTTAATACCAGTTTTACTGCTGTTTCTTTGCACATTGTCTCTACGTGAAAAGTTTCTACGTCTTCTCATCGTCGTTATAAAGTTATTTCAATTGGAATCATATGTTTTGGAGTAATATATAGGCTATACATACATATATATTGCTTGCTCTTCTCTATCCTATGTTACAGTTACTGTATATAACAAAATATTGTATTATTTATACATATGAGATATATCAGAACCCATCAAAATTAATTTTTTTTTTTTTTTTGCTGTAGGACTCGTTTTATACATTAGAACCCTTTTCTGGATACATAAAACTATAGCAAAAAAGAGGGACATTCTGTTTTACAATAAAAATTCTGATTCTTTTAGGATTATTAAAGAAAAAACTTCATATTTAAGAATAAAAAATTAAAATATTCAAAGATTTTTTGTGAAGTATATATCGCATTTTTACAGAAATATTCTTAATAATCTTACATAAAAGAATTTCGTATATAGATGACGTTTCCAAAAACAAAATTTTTAGTACAAAAGAAAATAGTTTTTGTAGTAATCGCAATTGTAATATTTTAAACTATATTTTAAGATAAATTTAAGTAAATATAATAACCTTAGGATATGACAAAGAAACTAAATTACGTAAAAAAAAAAAAAGTTTAATTATAGGCGGTCCTCTTCG